AGTTTCATGTTTAAACTAGAGTCTATTTTATTAAAGAAGGCCCGAGGATATACACGAATATACGATCTATAGTGTGAAATTTAACAGCAAACGTCGAATGTTTCGAAGACTGCCGCAACTGCTAAAGGGATTTCTTTGGTGACAAAGACTCTTTTGAAACCGCATACTATTAATAGAGCACGTTCTGACTTATATTTTATAAATCGAAATCTGTTTCGTTATTAACCACGCTATTACGTGAAAGGAAATTATTAATTTCGGCCGTTCAGTGACTGCGTAAACCCGCTACCCTGTATGATTCCGTCATTTGTGTGTTGAAAGAGGCGACAGAAGGAAAAGCAGACAGGAGATGGGTAGTGATATAGTAATAAATAAAAAAAACTACGATTGCCAAGCCTGGCCACTATGGAAAATATTTTCAGGGCAATTTATGGGGCCGGCCTTTGCTTGCGTGGACTTTCGATATGCTGTAATGATGATGATGATACCATATCCTAAAACAATAAAAAATCTTGAAAAATATTAATTTCACTTTATTTACAATGTATGGCTATAAAATTCAATGAATCATATATGTACGAATGTATATTAATATAACACATGAATAATCAAAACGGATAAATGAAACTGGAAACGTTAAAATCTCATCACAAGCACCATTCCATTTTGCCCTTAATTCATTCAAAATTCAAGGGCAAAAATTTTAAAAAGGCAATTACTTCGGTCTGTAGTAAAACAGCCACCGAAAATGAATGTGCCGCCGGCAAAAATTCTGGCAACTGTTTTGATCAGGGTTGTTCTATACTAATGGACATCAGTATAGAAACGATCGAAATGTTCTTTGCTATTGGAGCTTTTTCCCTTACGTGCATAGTTTATCAAAAGTGATAATATGGTTTTCTAGGCTCCTAGTTCATGAACTATAGTCATTTAATTTTAAGTTTTGATTTCTGAACGCTGTCATAATCTTGCCTGTGATTGGTTCATTCAAATACTTACATGTGATTGGTCAAAATTTTAAAGTTTCGATGACAACCCGGAGTGATTACAAAGCGAACAAATTTGAAATTTTCATCCGAAGAAATCTCATTTGAAGGAGTGTTGTGAAACTAATAAAAAATTGATTTTTGGAAGGTTTATCTATATTAGGTTTTTTTTAATTCGTGTGTTTTGGAAATTATATTTAGATACTGACAAATTACATACTGATGAAATACGAATAATATTTTTGATCTTAGCGAAATAATAGAAAAAAACTGAACTGGTTATTTGAATAAAAAATCATTTTTATTCAAATAACCAGTTCAGTTTGTTGTTGCACTCAAGATTTTTTATTAATTTTCGTGTTTTTAAAAAATACTGAAAAAAGGGCTCCAAAAATAGATTTTCTCAAAAAAGAAAAGAACTTGAAAAACAACTAAAAAAAAGTCGGTCGGTCGGTCTGGGCTCGAACCATGGTATTACGATTTTGTGACCGCCCAATATACCAATTAAGCTATTTGTAATCATTAATAAACTGTCAAAATTTACCTTCTTATTGTAACGAACTTATTGTAACGATATTGTAGCAGTTTTTCATTGCCTAAAAACACGGACAAAAAGACATTTTCTAAAAATACATCCTAGCTAGATCGATTTATTGCCCCCGAAACTCCCTGCACACAATTTTATGAAAATCTTTGGAGCTGTTTCCGAGATTCCGATTATATATATATATATATATATATATATATATATATATATATATATATATATATATATATATATATATATACAAAATTAAGGAAATACATTTGACCCATGCATCATGTTTACAGCTCGACACACTAAATAATATAATTTTATGTATATATAGATCACCATCAATTAAAAATGCTGATAGTTTTATAAATTCATTGAACTCACACTTAAGTTCTATAAAGTCACTTCATAATATTTTTATTACAGGCGATATTAATATTAACATTGCTCTCAAGCCCATAGAACTACCCCAAGAACAGAAAAATCGACTAAATTACTTAAACATGTTATCTGAGCACGGTATACTGGCCGGCCACACTATCCCTACAAGAGAACAGAACTGCCTAGACTATATTATGTTAAATATAAATAAGCTCAAAGTACAGGCATATATTTTTGTATTACACACGACCACCACAGACCATTTTGCAACTTTCCTCATACTCTCAAAAATCAAACCTAAGCTTTTTTGTACCTACATCAAAAATATCCACTGACTTTAACAAAGCTCTAGATCACCTTAAAAATCAAAACCTAGATAAACTGCTACAATGCGATGACCCTGAGTTAATAGCTAATCATTTGATTTATGCACTTACCAACTCACTAAAAGAACATACCGTTACCATAACTATTTCTAGAAAAAATCGTGCGCTGCATAAGAAACCGTAATAAGCTTCAAAAACAAGCACGTAATGCGCCTTACAATAATGAAATCACAATCACATACCGGAGGTATAGAAATTACTGTAACAATCTTATTAAAAAGTTAAAAAGAGACTATGAGAGAGAGTTGTTGGCTAAATCGGTCAAAAATAACAAACAATTATGGAAAAATATCAAAACTATTACTCACACTAATAAACTCAAGACTTTAAATATAGAACTTCTTAATGTTTCTGATAACCCAATAGCCTCTGCAAACTCTGTAAATAATTATTTTTCTAATATTGGTAAACAACTTGCAGAACAGATTGAATATGTGGAAAGCGACTCTAACTCTTACCTCCAAAATCTGCCAACACATCCAAACTCCTTTGTACTTCTGCACACTGATCATTATGAAGTTAATAACATTTTTATGAACCTAAAATCTGAAAGTTCTCCATGTATGCTGTAATAATATCCCGACTGCTTTTCTCAAACATGCAAAAAAAGAAATCATTCCCATTATAACTCACCTAGCAAACCTGTCCTTTGATAAAGGAATATTCCCAGCTCCCCTGAAGCAGTCGATTATTACTCCGGTTTACAAGACTGGGGATAGAGATGACGTAAGCAACTATAGGCCTATATCGGTGCTGCCTGCGATATCCAAAATACTCGAAAGACTTATAAATGTAAGATTAAACGCCTACTTACAAAAATATGAGATCTTGTCTGCTTCCCAGTTTGGTTTCAGACAAGGAAAGTCCACCGAAGATGCAGTCTCTGCATTGAGCTCATTGGTAGTAGAGGAAATGGATAAACATAATAAATGCATAGCAGTATTCTTGAATTTGAAGAAAGCGTTTGATACGGTCTCTATCCCCATTCTTGTACATAAGCTGGAAAGAGTTGGTATCAGGGATGTTCCACTAAAATTACTCGCGGACTACCTTGCAAACAGGTGGCAGAAAGTAAAACTAGAAAATTATACTAGTGATTACACTAATGTGTCATTTGGTGTGCGGCAAGGAAGTGTTCTTGGCCCCACGTTATTCTTAATTTATCTGAATGATTTATGTAACATGACCCATGAAAATGCCAAAATATTCTCTTATGCGGATGACACTGCCGTTGTTTTCACCGGAGGATCCTGGGACATTGCTAAAATAATGCAGAAAAAGGTCTTGAGCAAATAGGTAAATGGCTGCAATTTAATCTCCTTACGCTCAATACGGCCAAAAGTTGCTATATATGCTTTAGCATTTATAACAACACTCAGCCAGAACTTGATTTTGCGGTGAGAGTACATCACTGCCGTATCACAACATATAGACAGAACTGCCATTGCCCCACTATACAAAAAGTAACCGAAGCTAAATATTTGGGAGTGTGGCTGGATCAAAGACTCTCTTGGTATCCTCAACTTGAACATGTCACTCAGAGAATAAGGAATCTCACATGGATTTTTAAGACATTGAGACATGTGGTACCTAAGACAGATTTAGAAACGTGGACTGGGGACAAGTGTCTTCTAAGAGAAATATACATATCCTTAGTACAGTCTGTTCTTGCTTACTGTTTGCCTGTATGGGGAGGTGCGGCCAAAACGTGCTTTCTTGAGGCGGAACGTGCACAACGTGGTTTGATAAAGGTTATGTATTTTAAAAAACAAATTTTTTCAACCGATAAACTTTATGAAACTACCCGAATTCTTTCAATTAGAAAGCTTTACATTATACAGACAATTCTGAGTAAACACAAAACCCTGAAATTTGATGCCATTAATGCTGTAAGTAGAAGGCATAAGCTGGAAACCCTCAAATGCAATTCTGTTTTTGCTTCAAGACAATACAAGGCTCGTTCGGCCTACCTCTACAAAATGATTAATAAAAGCTTAAACTTATACACTATACTAAAACATATCGCGACTGTAAAAAGGTGCTTACAGTTATGCTTGGAGGATAAAACCTATAATGATCTAGAGGCATTATTAGTTAAAATTAAATATTAACGAAAACACATGCACACACTCACATACATGCACACACACACACACACAAACACACACACACACACACACACACACACACACACACACACACATACACACACAATGCACGCCAAAAATGCACATTTTTTAAAAATGTAAAAAAAAGGAAATTTTACCTACTAGCTGTAAATAGTCACTTTTAAAATTAGTTATATATTAGAACTATACTAGTATAATTATTCACATTGTTATCGTTTAAACGTGCTACTTCAAAAATCATGTAAATCCAAAAATTTTATTTTTACCTTGTACATTCTTCTAAAAACGACATAAATTAATGGAAGAGGGTTGCTCCCTGATACAGGCTTATTAGTCTGTTCCAAGGGGTTCGTACGACGAGAATGTTGCATCTCTTGATGTGTTCAGTTTGTAGCAACTAGCTGGAAAGATATCAAACAGGTCCTGCTATTATCCACGTATGTAGGTGCATATCCTGTGGGTACTATTGGCCGCTACGACAAGAAGCAAAAAAAGAACATAACGATACCATGCCCCAAAGCAATTCAAGAATATAATACAAATATGGGGGATGGATAGTTATTTAGGGCGATATAGGATTAGAATGAAATCGAAGAAATGGACCAATAGACTCTTCCAACATATGCTGGATATGGCAGTAATAAACAGCTGGATTCTATACAAAAAAGTGTCATTGAAAATGGAAACGAATCCCAAAAACATATTGAAACTTGCTGATTTTTGGACCGAGCTAGCTGAAACTTTGTGCAAGTATGGAACCGTATTTGAAAATAAAAGAGGCAGATCCAGCTTGAATAGATATGAAAATCCACCAAAAAAAGAGCAAAACTTAGTGCACAGACATTACCGCCACATGACGTTCGCACCGATGGAGTTGGACACGACAAGAGCTACAGCACTAAAAGAAATTAGTGCGAATATGCAAATTGTAAAAAAAATTACTTTTGTCTTGTGCACCAAATGCAAAATATCTCTTTGTGATAATAGAAAAAATAACTTTTTCAAGTTTTTCATGCTACATAAAAGAAAATATCACAAATAAAAAACTTTATATTTTCTGTTATCACTAAGGAAAAAACTTACAATGAATGCATAGTTTATCAAAATTGATAACAACTTTTTTTTCTTAATAAAACGTTTAATATCATAGTATGATTTTTTTAATTATTTTTCCTGTGATCAGGAGGTCATGTTTTAACACATATATTTTATCTTTTCCAAAATAAAAATTCATGCATCTAAGGGTTAGCTATTTCCTACAGTAAATGTTACATTTCTTTCAAATTTTCTTTTATTATCATCACCATATCGTGAAGAGGTACTCAAAAAGAGGAATGCCCACTCTTCATAGACATTTCGGCCATGGGTGCCCACATATAAAAGCATATAGATATGATAATATACAATTAAAGGAATGAAATGGTTAAGAAATTGGTTTAAAAAAAAGTCGGGAATTTTAAGATATAAAAGTTTTTATTTTCACAAATACAGTTTTTTAACAACTAATTTTACAGATGTTATCGCATTTAATTTCTTTGATTTTTAATTCCCGACTTTCGGGTGCTTTCCAGCACACATGGTCATGGGGGATTGAGGTGACTGGTGTACCGAAATCAGTGTTAACTTGGAGTAACTTCAGCTTTTTAATAACTATTTATGGTCCGATCTACGCAGAATGAACTTACTGTCCTGAAGTCTTGCGTGGTATGCTTGGGTTTAGTTTTAATTTTATTAATTACAGTGTCCCAAGCAGGTGGGAATACCCAGCTTCATTCTCTATTGAAATTAGAATGTTTGAATCTGGGTGCAATACATTACCGACTTCAGATTGCAACGAGGATGAACTAGATGATTCAGATGGTTCCCGTTCTGCAGTTGAATGTGATGCTGCTCTATCAAACCTTCGCCAACAATTATGACACACACGAGATGACGTTGGCAACTGAAATAATATTAAATAAAAAAGGTGAAAAAGTGAACTAAATAAAAATAAAATAGATTTGTTTCCTTTAAACTCAAATACATATAAAATATTTATCAAGTTAATTGTTACTGCACAAAAGCAGACTTAATGGCCTATATTATTTAATAATTAAGCACTTAAAAACTACCAGTAGTCCAAAAACAATGAAAAATCAATTGTCTCATTACTTGGTAGTTGGTAAAAACGGTAGCAGTCTATCTGGTGGTGACAAGCTAATCTTATCGCCATGTTATAAATAAGCTTGTATGTTTGTCAGATATAGTTTGTGTGGATGTAATCAGAGTAAAAACATGTATCACTATCAGATATGAGCACACACACTTAATAAATTAAAAAATCACGTACCTCACGTGGTGCAATTTGATGGGCAATTTCATTCCTTATGAGTTCCTCACGTGGAGAATCAGACCCAAACAATGTGTGTGATCTTATTCTCAAAAGTGACTTGCCACAGCTGATACATACATGTCCATGACTATTAATTGGTGAATTTTCCTGTTCGCTAGTTGGATGTCGTATTTGATTCCAGGCTGCAGTCTTAACATGCGTGGCATACTACACTATCACTCGAAACTTGTACCTAATAAAGAAGCCATAATTATTATATCAATTGATATAATTATAAGACAACTCAGTTAATAAGCATTGCTGCAATTGTAGAATGACGAAAAGGAAGAGATGACACATGATTGTAACTATTTACCTGCTGTGGTCGAACCTATTCTTGTATAAGATTTCGCAGTTCTGGAATTTCCAACAAATGCCTTCGTGTTTTCGCTATATGATGGGAAAAAATGTCAGAGTCCATTTATAAGGCTAGTTCGTTACTTCGATAACAAATTCACAAAAATAAAAACAAACAAAGTAACACGCAAATGAATTCTACATGTGACTATTTATATAGGTATAGATATAGTTGTGAAATGTGAACTAAATTGTGATTTCATTCCATGACAGGGCCTAGCTGTCAGACTCGATGTTGCCACTTAACTGACATAAAATCGATGAAAAGATATCGATTTTTATTCGATTAATAATATCGTTAAAAAACAATCTTTGAGGTGCTTTAAGTTCTGCACACTTTTTAAAATATATTTTCCTTTATTTATTTAAATGCTATTTGAAATGTATTTTTAAGAACAGTTAATTTGTGCAGTAGCGTTTTGTTAAGCTTTAACCTTTTGAGCGCCACGCCAAAAACGCATTACCGTGTCCTGTACGCCAAAGCGCCAAAACAAAATAGTGTTGCCAAGAGTTGATATATCGATAACGTAAAATAACTTGTTTTTGTTGGTTTTTTATGCTATAAATGACCCTTTATAAACTGTATGTTTTATTTAATCTTGTGCTGTCATCCACTCTTTTTATATATGTACTTTGTACATATAAACATAAATAAAAAACAAACAATAACAATAAAATAGTAGTAAACCACAGCACTACTCTCCATCCTAATGACGACACTGTCACGACTGGACGACAACGGCGTAGCTGACCTTCCTTTTTTAAACATTCTTAGAATGTTGTGTATCGATTTCAAAATCGATCTAACCGAAATATACAGACATCGATTCATAATATTTTATGTGTCGGGGAAGGCGTAGACCAAGTGAAGCACAGAAGAAAAGTCTTACACTCTTATGACAATGGGGATTTGATATGATGCTGATGCTGCTAGATGATTTTGAGACTGAGAAAGAAATGGCACAACACAAAATGAAAAATTGCTCTTCACACCTTAAGTAAAAAAAACTTTAATTGTAATTTTGTATTATTATTAAAAAAAGGTACATAATTATTCATTTATCAACAATTGTATATAATTATTCGCACTAGGTAAATCAGCCTTATAATATGAAAATCTTGGTCATGGAATAAATAAACATAATTGTTCACCAATCAATCAAAAATTCAATTCATCAATCAAAAATCAAAATTCATCATCACCGACGCTTTCCGAAATCCGAATGAGTTCTGAGGAATCGTTCATGTTGCATTGCTCTACTTTTCTCGGTAATCACTTATGACATCATCAGGGTGTCGTTTATCCTTGATCACGGTGCCCAGTGAACTGATTTTCGATAACGCGCTAAAGTTGAGAGTTGAGATATTAGATTTATTATGCGAAGATGATCTGATAACATTTTTTTATTATGTAGCTAATTATAGTTTTATGTTTCTAACCTTTAATTTTATTCAAATATCAATAATAATAATAGAAAAAAAAACACCATTGAGCTGAATTTTGGATAGTTTTCAAAAAATCTATGCTTCCCGCGTTTGACATTAGCGGTCAACCATAGACGACTTTGGCGTGCTGGACTTATATAAAAATCAATTTTTATTGGTTCAATGTTTCTTAGTACTTGTGGCTCTAGAAGACTTGTTTTTTATACTCACATGTTGCTGGGTTATTCCTATTTTGAGGAGTGTAGAATTAAAATACCTGTAATAATTTTCCAATATCTATATTTCATTTTTTGAGAGCCGGGTTTTTTGTCAACTATAGACGTCGTTGGCGCTCAGGGCCCGCAGGTGTTGGTCAAGTATAGGCGACTTTGGCGCTCAAAAGGTTAAAGGATTCATGGTAAATCAGCTGAAAACTAACTTGTTTCGTTATCATAACATGATTCTATTTTAAATGTATTGTTATAAACAGATAAGAATAGCTTAACAGATCTTCTTTGAAAACAGATAAGAATAACAGTTCTTATCTGTTTTCAAAGAAGATCGGTTAAGATTAACAGTACAATTGTGCCGTAGCGTTTTGTTACTCTCTAAAGAATTCATTGGAAATCAACTAGTAATTCGCTTGTTTAATCATAACATAATAATTATTTAAAAATTATATTAGTACTGTAATGATGACACCATAAATAATCGATCGAAAAAGAGAATCGATTTTTTAAATGTGTTTTGTGATTGGCAACACTTTTTTTTTATTCACAAACTAATGACATAATGATCTACCTAATTTTTATCATTATCTTTTCGGTACTTTTAATTTGTGCAAAAATATTCCCATTGTTTGAGGATAAATGAATACCGCGATTAATAACCATAAATAAAGATATAATTTTTTAACAAATGCACATTGTTGGGCGTTCCATGGCCGAAAATGGGCGTCCCCCTTTCAGTCACGCCTTTGGCTGCGCCCCACAGGCTGTATTAGCGATATCCCACGTTAGTTCCCGGTGGACCAGCCGCATTTGCTTCACACTCATAGAATTCTAATTGCGATTTCCAACACGCGTGGAGCCGGCTACGACACTAAAGCTGAGTTTCTTTTCTCCCGTTGCCAGTTTCACAGATTTCTCGGGATAGTCTTTGGAAGACTCCTCCTCGGAACGACTGCGTTTTTTCGCCTTCGGAACCGGGGGATGTTTGGGCAAAGAATCTTGTCCCAGGGCTTCTGGTAAAAAGAAGGGACCTAGCTCCTATCTCAGCTGATATCAGCCTCCTGTACTTCTTTCGTGCTGAACCACTAAGCTTATAGGTCCTGGTTAACTTTTTCTTGTCCATACCCTGGTTCATTTCCGATTGCGGTTCGGCTACAGAAGTGCCCTACACTTCACGGCTCGTCCAAGGTAACATTTTGCACGTGTTAGAGCCATGCTAGAGCTATATTTTAGTCGTATCACCAATGGGTCGGCTCGACCGGGGAGAGACCATGCTCTCACATAAAGTAAAGTAGTAGCTTAATGCTGTTGTGTTTTGTGTGGTGATTGTAGATAGCTGGAGACCCTTTTTATTGGATACGAGGTATTTTTACTTAGTGTTTAGTGATAACGTATCTGCAGTTTGATTCTTAATTCAGGATAGATGTCGCTATCTACGGCCCACAACATCCAATTAACATGAGATGAAAGTGTGTGCTCGTTTCTCAAAGACAAACGTTGGAAAGATAAAACATCGTCAGTGATTTAACCATTGTTTTATTTTAATATCTATTTTCCATTTATATCTATGCTTCACAAGCGTAAATCGAAGAATTTGGGAACGACATATCAAAGAAAGATCGTACAATAAACATGAAAGTAATTTTACTAAGGGTCAAA